CTCTGTAAAAATTCTGAGTTTGAGGAAGCGGCTAGTCATAGTAGAGATCTGGAGAAGGGGGTATTGTAGTGAGGTTTCCGGTGATAGTAGTTTCAAGTTTGGCGGCACTATAAGCCAAGTTGTAATATTGGCAAAAGGTAATAATAATTCAGCCTATAGAATATTTGTTTTTTTATGTTTTATCGGTTCAAGAGGTCTTTTTTTTTTTTTTTTGCAATTCAGTTCATGAGGTTGGTAACAATTAATTAGGAATGGCAATGGGTCGGGTCGGGGACGGATAATGCATATTCATTACCCTACCCAAAGTAATTCGAGTTTTACCCATGCCCATACCCACATAAGAACGAGTAGAAAATCCAAATCATGCTCATATCCGTTCGTGTTTTGGGTATCCACGGTTATCAATGGATTATAGTTTTTCTTTATAACTCCAACCAATATGTTAATATTTACACGTATTCTCACGTTACGTAAGACGAAAAGTACGACAATAATTCACTAGAATGAAGAAAATTAATTAAAACAACACAATTTCATAAAAAATTATATTTATATGCTAAATATAAAATTTGTTAGAGAAAAGTATTGATTATTTCTAGACAAAATACATATGCATGTGTATAATCGGGCGGGTTCAGGTTGGATAGTTAGAAAATCATGCCCACCCATTACCCGCAATATTCGAGTTCGGGTTTTACCCTACCCAATTAGGTCGGATTCGGGCGGATATCTACGGTTACGGATATTTTTGTCATCCCTACAATTAAGGTCGACTTTTTACCGGGAGGGATACATTTGTAATTATTAAAAAGGTTAATTCCACTAGAAAGCCCAAACTATTTAAAAAGTGTAATTTGTGTACTAAACAATTCAATATAACAAATTTGGCATGAACTATTTTTCCGTTAATGTATACCGGTGTTGACCGCTAGTATTTCAAAGAAAATCTAGTTAGCATATATGTGGTTTGTGCCAGATTTGTTATATTGAATAGTTTAGGACACAAATATCAAGAAACGCATATAGTTTGTGTCGGATTTGTCATATTGAATAGTTTAGAACACAAATGACACTTTTAGGATCATTTGGACTTCCTAGTGGGATTAACCCTATTAAAAATTATGGGGCAAACGTGAGTGGCGCTACTCATTTATTTCGCGTCATGGGCCTCGCCACGAGCATGTTTAAGCAGATCACAAAACACATACCATAAACACCAAATCACATCACAAATAACTTAAAGTAGACCATGAAACTTGTAAAGGAAGTATGAGCTACATCACACCATAAAATATACAAAGCAAACCAAAAAACTCAAAGATGGCCATAATTTGCCTAAAGCATATAAGAAATATCATAAATCACACCAGAAATCTCATAAATTATACTGCAAGTTCCTTAAGCATACTGAAAACCTCATAAAGCTGATTAAAAATTTCATAAAGCATACCACAAGTTGCATGAAGCATACTAGAAATCTCATAAAGCAAATCACAACTTCCCATAAGCTACCATAAAGGCATAAACCTCATAAAACATTCACAATTTCCTAAAATAGACTAGAAACCTCATAAAACATACCACAAATTCCTAGAAGTATTCCATAAATCTCTTCAACATACAAGAAGTTCATTAAAGCAGACCAAAAAGGCAAAAACCTCAAAAAACATACCACAAGTTCTTAGAAACAGACGAGAAATATGTGCAACCACACCACAACTCTCACAAAGCTAACCTGAAAGACGAGAAAACACACCAGAAACCTCACGAAACAAATAAAAAACGTTATAAAGGATGACAAGGTAATAAAAAATTACCATGGTGAATATTTTTGTAGAATGATGAAATAATTTTTGGTAACGACTGGTGTACTCCAAGTGATCTGACCGTTAGATCTAATTCAATAGGCTCCGACCAATCTCAACGGTCAATTATTATTTTGCATTAAATTGAACTTCGGGTTTGAGTATAGAGAATCAGGGCCTGAGGTTTATCCAATAGAGGTTAGGGTATAGTATCATGCCTCAAACTCGATTTAATTTATGGTCTAGATAGAGATATATCACTAAGAGTACTTGGAGTATAGTATACTACAAGTGTACACTAGTCCGACCCAATAATTTTTACAAGTAACCTGCTGGTTTGTTTACATAAAAAGTGAAGTAGAAGCAGGGTGGAGGGCGGGAGGAAAAGAGCAACATAAGGAAATAGGGGATGGGTTAGGGTGGAAACTAGAATTCTAGTAGCCACCGTGGCTACTTCAGTATCCTCCGTCTATTTTTTTTATTTTTTCTTTTTTTAATCTCACGGTTAAAATTGCTTCAGGGTAATATTGGAAACAAAAAAAAAGACCACACCTGATTATTCTATATATTCTACCTAAACCCTAATTCTCCCCTTCTCTCATCCAAGCCCTACTTCTATCCACCGGCCGCCTCCACCACTACCATAGCGGTAGCCTCGCCGACCGCCTCCACAAGCCATGACACACCCCTCCAATAGCAGCGACTTCCGCCTCCACCTTCCAAAAACCCTGCCATCCGTCGTTGTCCAGCCGCGAATTAGGTGGCTCCGTTCCACATCATCGTTTGAGAGAGAGTGCCATGAAGTATATATATATATATACATACATGGATGGTAACGAGAGTGAGAAGCAGAGCAGTGGCGGAAGGCAGAACCAACATCCAAAGAAAGGCAAAGAGAGCAAAAGTATGATTTGAAATGGTATGAATCCATGGCTCTGCCTACTCCGTGCAGCCGCCGCCAACTTCGTGCATCCGACGACGATGACTCTGTGCAACTCACAATGATGACTCCGTGCAGTCGAAGACGACCCCGTGCAGCCGACAGCGCCGCTATCTTTCTCTCCGGGTCGGCGACTGTTTGTTTCTCGGACGGTGAATCGGCGAGGAGTTCGACGGCTTTGTATCGTTTCCCGCGACGACGACTATTTGTTTCTCTGTATGGTGAAGACGGCGCACCGGCGAGGTTGATTTCACCTCCTCCGGATTCTGAGTCGGCTATTGGCGAGATTTGATGCATTGGTAGTGATCTATTTTGGTAGTTATCTTCTCACATGTATAGCTTGGCGTGGAATGGTAGTGTTCATTGGTATGTTTGCAATGGTAGTGTTCCAGTTTTATGCAATTGTAGTGTTTGCAATGGTAGTGAGTTTTATGAAATTGTAGTGTTTGCAATGGTAGTGTTCGAGTTTTGGTAGTGTTCATTGGACTTTTTGTGTGTTCATTGGTATGTTTGCAATGAATGAAATTCATACCAAACTAATCAGACACAATAATACGTTGCACAATAAGGCAAAATCAATACCATTTCAATAATGATAATCACAATACAAATCCAATTCATACCACCAGAATCAATCCAATATGAAATTTGTACCAATACAATCTGTATAGATTTAAGACAACTACCAATGCAAATCACTACCAGTGCAGCCATACAAAGTGATTAACACTACTAATCGAAACCTCACAGAACCTTACGATGGTTTAATTGCTGGAAGTGGTCAAGCAACTCATTTTCAATATTGGATATCAATCCATCGAAACAGATATACACTAATAACACAATGTAAACACTACCAATAAAATTTAGCATAACTACCAAAACAATAAGCACCGGAATACTATTCTTACCCAATGTAAACACTACCAATAAAATTTAGCATCACTACCAAAACAATAAGCACCAGAATACCATTCCTACCCTTAGTAGCCACGGTGATTACTAAAAAGTAGTACTCACCGTAACCGCTCCCAAGGAAATAGGGCTAGGATCATGTGAGTAAAGGGGTCCCCTTAGTCATGTGACTAGCGAATCTCAGCCTTTCAAGCTCATTTAAATCTGATGGTTAGTATTAATCTATTTTAATTAAGGGTAATGTAATAATTGCATCACTTTTTAATTTTTAATTATTAAATGATTTGATAAATTCCTTTACAGCTTTACTCCCATATCCGTCGACAATAAATTTCTGGCATCCAGTTCCTCTGCCGCCGGCCAGAATTCCCACCGTTCAGTTCCTCCGCTGGCAGCCTGAATTTCCAGCGTCCAGTTCCACCGCCGCCACCGTCACATTTGAGTGGACCGCCAATGGACCTGACATGGGGGATTTCTTTTGGCTTGCGAGAGAGGATGGATTTTTCGTCGGCGGTGAATTTTCCGGCGACGTTTGTCGGGCGGTTTTGTTAATTCTAGTTTGTTATTTTTATCTATTATGTTTATATGACTAGTTTGTATACATTTTAATTTGTAATGTTTGTTTGTCTAGTTTGTATACTTTATGTTGTGATTTGTATGCTCTGTATTCATTGATTTGCAATATAAGTTTACTGTTTTGTATTGTAAGTAGTGACATTTGTACTGTTAGTATGTTTTGTAATGTTTGTCGATCTATTTTGTAATGTTTATATCAATTCAGTTTGTATTGTTTATTATTCTTGTTTGTCATCTTTCTTTTTACATTTGTAATGTTTATATGACTATTTTGTATATATTGTAATTTGTAATGTTTGTTTGTCTAGTTTGTATACTTTTATGTTATAATTTGTATATTCTGAATTCATTGGTTTGTAATACTAGTTTACCGATTTGTATTGTAATTAGTGATATTCTATACATTTAGCATGCTTTGTACTGTTTGTCGGTTTCTTTTGTAATGTTTGTAAGCTTTGTTATTTTTGTCCATCATGTTTGTCATTTATGTCAACCATGTTTGTAATGTTTGTTTGTCTAGTTTGTAATGTTTCTTCATCTAGTTTGTAATGGTTGATATTATAGTTTGTAATGATTATCAATTTGCTTCATAATATTTATAGGGTTGATTTGTAAAGATCATAATTTGTAATAAAAGATTGTAACAAAGTACCCAAAACATACCAAGAGTACAAATTATTAGTACTTACAATACAAATCGACATGACTTGCATCACAAATCAATACATATAAAGTATACAAATTAATATTACAACACATACAAACTATACAAATCATACTGTAAAAAAAATAAAATCTAATGCAATATCTTCAAATGGACGAATAATGGTTAGGAAAAAAAATAGATGATATTATTATGATTATTTGATTATAATTCCTACGCAACCAATTACCCAAAAACAAAGCAAGTGCCTACTATTGGATACATTTTTGTTTTAACGAGAAAAAAGGAAGAAATAGAAACTTGGATTCTTCTTCCCTACCCTCGGACGACGACGATGTCGAGAGATGCGTCCTCGCCGCCGACTTCCATCGTCGTTGCCGCCGACACCCCTCTCTCTCCATCCCTCACCGCCTCTCTCTCCTCCATCTTGTCGACGCTCTCTCTTTGCCACTTCCTCTCTCTCTTCCACCATCGTCTCTCTCTCCTCTGTTTTATCGACGACGACGGTCAGATCTGCTTTCCCTCTCTCCAACGTTGCCGCCTCTTCCGTGATCTTCTTTCCCTCTCTCCACCGTCGCCATCGCTGTCGAGGTCTCCATTCTCTCTCTCTCCATCGTCGTCGGCGTTCTCTCACCCGCCGCAACTTTTCTCTCTCTCATGCGGGCGATGCTAGCAACGCAGAAGAACAGGTTGGAGGAAATAAAAACTTAAATGAACTTTTTCATAATTCCAGAATTGCCCCTCCCATTATTTAATTATCTCTTCCCTTATTTCCACTATTAGATCGATTAATAAGAATCCAACGACTAGGAGGAGCATAACCAAGTGACTAAGCACCCCCTAGTCACCAGATCCTCTCTCAAAGGAAGTAACTTCTATGAGTAGTAGTTACTATAGTATCGGTAATCAATTTATGTTAGCATGATGCTATCGTTATCACCCTATTTGGTCCCGTACAATGTGAAGTTCGTCGTTTCCTTTAGACTGGCCTTGTATTGTATCAAGCCAAGGGTTTCGAGTCGTAAAGTCCAAACTAAAAAGCGAAACACACATGGTTGTCAAATGTCAAACCACTAGTATGGAGGCTGATACATTCGGTTCAGCTGATATTGAACAAAAGTTGTTATCAAAAAAATATTGAACAAAAGCTTGCTCGAAGACTACCGATACATTCCGGTTCAATAGTTGTTAGGCAAATCCTGGGTGGAAGACTACCGATATGAAGTGGTAGTCAAAATCGAGAAAAGAGTGATTCGACATTTTGACTGGAACAATCAATTTTCTGTCCCTAAACAATATATTGACAGTTTAAGTGGAATTAACTAAAAAAAAAGAGAAAGAAATTAGTCGGATTCAAGTATAAACATTTTGATATTGATGTTATCTATTGCATAAACTATTATCTAAACCGGTTACATCTGAGTCAGACCACACCACTTACTAAACCAATTGTAAAAACCGGTTGGACAACCAAATTTCCTTCTCACTTCACTCTCGCGAGTCGCGACTCGCCCCAATTCCGATTGTTCAATTCCCTTCATTCTCGCCCCTCTCGACGAATCTTTTCCCTTCTCCTCCTTCCCTCCGCCTTCGTCGTCTCCAGTGACTACTAATCGACCATCACTTTCGACGTTGGCCACTTCTGTCCCACTTTCCTGCGAACCCCCATCTCTTTCTGCGCTGCCGCCACTTTCCGAGGCAAATCCCACTGCCGCCGTCCGTGAAACTAGACGCTTCTCACAGCGTTGAGACCTGTCCGGTCACTGTCACTGCCAGTCTGAGGAAGCCAGCTAGTAGTAGTTGCTCTGAGTTCACCGCTGCCGTCGGTATCCATCTCTTTTGTTTTTTTGTTTTTATTGTTTTGTTCTATATGAATGCGAGTATGATATCGCTGGGAATGGGAGGGGGAGTTTATTGGCGACGGAATTGGTTGGTTCAGTTCAAAAATCAAATTTGGTTATAGCTCTTTTCTTTCACTTAAACTTGCCATCCCATTGCAATGTCATTTGGAAGGCCGAAGGTTCTTTTAACTTTTGGCTTTGCCTGTATGTATGAGAATGGTTTGTAATGGATGGGCATGGTGCAAAGCTAGGTTTCTAATATCCGAAGATGTGAATTCAATGTAGTTTGGGCTAGCCGAGGACTGGGTTGTTCTCCGTGTGACAAATGTATTGCCTATCTCGCTAGCCTAAATAATTTGGCATGCGAAGCTGAGAATTTTCAAACAATTTTCCTTTTCAAGCTTTTGACGGAGGACTAGTTTTCTGATCTACTTGATTCCTGGACGCTTCCCTAAGAAAGATGAGAGTGTATCTTGCTTAGTTTCTTTTTGTGGTACTGACCTTTTCATTTGCTCCAGGATAGAGCAAGTACTCTGCAAATATGCACAAAATTCCCCGCCTCATATCGCGACTGTCATCAACCACTCTAGGCACAAGTGTTTCTGCATCGAGATTTCTGAAGGAAAAAAATGCACCTGCATTTGGTTCTGAAGCAAGTCATCAACTCATAAAGACCTGTGGCTTTTCTTCAAAGCCGGGCGGTGGTGGTCAAGATGAAGGAACGAATGAATGGGAAAATGCTGCTACCGGCGGATCATCCTTTGGGTCCGATGATCTGGGATGGGACTCTGTTTCATCATGGTCGACTGGCTTGACCAAGGATCATTTCGATGGTGAGATGGTTGGCAAGATGTCTAGTAGTTCTGCTGGCAATGCTGCTTCTCAGTCTTTGGCAATATCTGAGTTGCAAGATCTTGATGATAAGTTGAAAGAATTGGATGCTGAGAACAGGAAGGGCAAGTCTTTTGTTGATGGATGGGGGCAGAGGTTGCGCGAGATAAGTGGGTTGTTGAAGCAAGTAGAGGAGCCTGGTGCCAGAGGTTCTTATCTGAAGGATTCGGAGAAGGCAGAGATGTATCGATTGCACAAGGAGAACCCTGAAGTTTACACTATTGAGAAACTTGCCAAGGACTACAGAATCATGAGGCAGAGGGTGCATGCTATTCTCTGGCTCAAGGAAGAGGAGGAGGAAGAGAGAAAGCGTGGTCGTGTCTTAGATGACTCGGTCGAACTTCTGCTTGATACCTGCCCAGAGTAAGTAACAATGATGAGCTTCTATTCTCGTAGTTTCCTATAAGGGAAGGTGGTAAGGAACTTTGGGTTGAACTGTAGCTCTATGCCGTTTACAAATTTAGTGAACTCCATCATGGAAGGTTTGTGGTTCTTCCCATCATCAGGGAATGGTAGTGTCTAGGGGTGTTAGTAGGAGTGAAAGCATACGACAGAAAGGTCTCCGCAGAATATCTTTTTTTTTTTTTTTGGGCCTTTTCAGAATCATCCAGGTTTGTTTGGTGGCTTTTCAGCTCTCTAACATTACAATCTGATTTTTCCCCCACTGGCAGATTTTTCATTTCCCATGACCGAGAGTTTCATGTAGCATCCCTTCCTTACAAACCTGATTTCAAGGTGATGCCAGAGGGTTGGGATGGTACGACCAGGGATCCTGATGAAGTCCACTACGAGATATCCAAGAAAGAGGATGAAATGCTCTATCAGGAGTTCGTCCAGAGGATGGAATTCAACAAAATGAAAGTAAGTTTCACTTGTTACACCGTTTTATTATATTCTAACAAATCATGAAATACACTTGGACAGAACCTTGCTGGCGTAATATATCAATACACTTAGAATAAAATAAAGTTGGCACAACTTGATTTCCTGGAAGGGATTGAGTGAAGGTTGAGCAATGTTTAATTTCAATTTTGTCTTGTGAGATTGAGACTGACAATCTTGGTGATGGTAGTCATTACTGATTGACAAAGTGTACTGATTTCTAGTAGTACCAAGGCGACCTGGGTTTCTGTAGTAGATTATACTATTTTTAGCCCCCCTCAAAAGTGCTTTTAATTGCAAAGAACTGTACTCCATCTTTAGGAGTGAGTTTTATTTCTACCTTTAGAGTGCTTTATATTAGGTGATTGGCTTGCACAATTCGATCCAGTGCAGATAAACTCAAAGGTTCTTGTCTATGAATTATGAAGCTAATTAAATACAAGTGACCAGGCAGCAGTTTGTGGAAAGCACTCTGCTTTGAAAGAATTTTGATACATGAAAAGAAGTTTGTGAGCTTGCACATTTTCTTACATTCTTTTTATATGATTCTCCTTGGGAGTAGATTGCTGGGAAGGTGAAATGCCACAAATACAGTAGGCGGCGGCCAGCTGAAGGCTGGAACTTCACGGTGGAGAAAATGGGACCTCAAGGGAAACGTGGCGGTGGTGGTGGCTGGAAGTTCGTGAGCTTGCCTGATGGGTCTAGCCGACCTCTAAACGAGACGGAGAAAGTATATGTAAAGCGGGAGACTCCACGGAGGAGGCGCAAGATTTTCCCATGATGATGATGACCAAATCTAGTATGGCAAAGGTATTATTAGGAGAAGTTATAAGAGAACATGTAGGAGAACGGGTAGCTACTAAATAAGAACGAAAGACTGCTGTTGGGTTCTGCATCTGGCTAGCTAATAGTCTGCACTTTAGGATTTTAAAGCCGATTGTCACTCAATATTTTGCATGGGGAAGCGACTTTTTGTTGTTGGGTCTAAGGATTGGAAACCTGCAATGAAACAGCTTTGGAGCGGGTTTTTCTGAACCATTTGCATTCCCGCTTTTCAGATACTCAAACTCCAACGAGGAGGTTTTGCACCCTATCCCCATACCCTATGTTTTTGGACACTCGTGAATAATACCCGTCATTTATACCCTTGGTTTTCGTAGGCATACTTTAGAGCAACTAAGGAAGTCACTTGCAAAGCTCCTACGCTGGCTCAAGGAGGTATGTGAAAGTTGCTTGATCAACTGGGAATTGATCATTATCAAGATGAAATTACATGCTGAACAGTGTACACTCTGGGGATTACCTAAGCTGACCGATCACCGGAAACAACTCTGATGACCAGAGGAACTCTCAACAAGGCGTATGTGCGCACATCTTTGCCAGAGAAACCAATGCTATCAGGAGCATTTCATCCAACCCGTCCTTCCTAATTAGACTCGAGGCTATAGTCGAACAGTCAGTCACCAGCCTCAGCAGATCGCCAAATCCTGCATTAAAACAAAATCATCTTTCCATGAATGATTTCTCCAGTTGGACAATGGTTTCTCATTGCTGAAGCAGAGACCAAATGGAACGGGCGGTTGTATGGATAGACAGATCGCCGATTTGTTTCCTTTATCAGTTAAGTTGGATGATGTAACAACCTTCACTGGTTAATGAAGTTAAGTTACAGATTTCGATAAAAAAACTGCTTGTAGCATGGAGTGCTATTCGCCTTTGTGTACGTTTGCAGACATTGTGGTCAAAGGTGATTCTTAAATGGTGATAGCAGTAATGGACAAGTCACTTACCGTGGTTCCATTCACTTAACTGTGATCATCAGTGTGTTAATGTACATTACTACACAGGACTCGAACATACATCCAAGACTTTATCCATCAGATGCCACCTATTTCACACCACCTTCTGTGTCGCTTGGTAGGGAGGAGATTGATTGTACATGTATTGGCGCCTCGGTGATAGCAGTTGATGTTGCTGACCCGTCCTGCTCCGTGGGCAGCTTTCCAACCTCTAACCGAGCCATTAAATCATGAAGCTGCAAAAACCACAAAGCTCCTCTGTAAATCCAACCCATGCAGGCTTGCTTACTCAATTTTACTGTATAATGAAGGACAGAAAAGACTCGAAATGCAGACTAACCTGTTGTTCCAACATCTGGATCTTGTCATCCTTTAGTTTTAGAGCCTTTTTCTCGCTGCAGATACAGAAAACATGAGAAGTGTAGTTAGAAGGGAGAAAGATCGGTAGGTTTACACGCAGATTCAGCTGCACATTGAATGCAACAAAAAATTAGAACTTGCTCCCCAAAATAGGAGCAGACATTTCCCAGATCGGGATTGGTAACAGTAGCTAATAGGTCATATTCCAGTTCCACGGGCACAATCAACAGGCGAAACATAGCAAAAGATGGAAGTATTTCGATTCTTGTGCATGAAATTGGCATGCATCGAAACGTAGCAAACCATATAATGGAACAGTATTGTCAAAAAGGTTAAAAACATACCTCTCTTCCATCTGCAGTATCTTCACTTTCCAGACTTGCGGGTTTTTCGCCAGATTTTCATTCAGCTACAACGAGAAGCGAGAGACAGGTTATCTTTTTTCTTTGCTTTATTATTATAAAAAAGCTCTCAATATTAGCTCAACATTTTATTTCTTAAGAAGAAAAGGCTATCAAATCCTGGTCCAGCATCATTTCAAGCCAACCCCAAGATTAAAGGGACTTACATCGTCCAGAAATTTCTTTTCTTTGGTACATCTTTCCAACTTGGCCTGCAACTTTAGTGTTTTTTGACTGGCAACCTTCTTAACAGCTTCAGACGTTTTTCGAGCAGTTTCGTCTTTCACCTCTTGTAGTAAAGCCTCAAAGTACTGCACATACATACAAGTACGGTAACTCAAAAGAGGCTTGCTAGAAGGTCAATATTAACCTTGACTACCAATAATGAATGATCAGTTGCACCTGCTTCTGGTTCTCAAGTTGTGTAGCCAGGAGTTCGTTGTACTCACTAACAATCTGGGAAAAGAAAATTGAACAGCGCATGAGGGTGCTTCAAATAAGAACTGGCATAAATACATGAACTTTCTAGATAATTAATGGAAAAGAGAGATTACTGCTTCGACTTTGCTGCTTAATAGCGTCTCACTGATTCCAGAGTCCATACAACCACAACTCCCACAACCATCAACAGCGTGCACACAATGGGTATGCAACTCAACCAATTTTCCATCTGTTTTTGATTGAATTAGTCGGTGAACATAATTGTCACCGGCGTAATCCCAAACACGCTGTGTTTCCAATTCAAGAGAATAACAATGCTGGGTTTCCTTCCAGTGTCTCACAGCATGTCCTTCCTTATACCTACTCATTTATGAATGATGAATGCGGATAAGCACAAAAGGAGATGAAAGGAGGGAGATAGCTATTTTCCAGTCATCAAAGGGGGGAAAAGGATGCATACCTTCCACAACCAACAAACCCACAGATCAAACAGATCCATAGGTTCTCTGAAGTTTGACACATAAAACATACAGATTTTTCTGGCATTTGCTGGCAATATCGGCAAACCTAGAAGAAAAGAGTCATAAATAACATCATTGAGATCACTATAAACTTGAAAAGTTAAAAAGGTTAATCAAATGCCAAACTGAGCAGCTGGGCAGCTCTTAAGTTCAGGTCCTAGTTCATGCAATCTATGTTCAACTGGTAGGAAAGGTTTCTCTGTTGGTTATCAGATTGGAGTCAACTATCTTATCCATCCATGCACAAGTTGTAGGATTGAAAGGGGATTCTATCCATTAATCATAAACAAAAGCTATGTCCGAGTATCCATCAATATGAAACAATATCGTTGACTTCCGAACAGTTTATCATGAACGAAGCTAGTGTAGAGTTGTAACCACTTACTGGACAAGAAGAGTCTGCCCACTTCGAGATGCAGGAGCAGTGAAATGAATGATTGCATATGGTTGTGAGAATTCCACCCATGTCGTGGTCTAGTCTCTCTGTAACAGAAAGACAGTATAAGAGCACAGGTTTGACAAAATTTCAGAGGAAGATCTCTAAGAAAACATTATCTGCATAACTCTAAGCTTCAAGGAAGGAGAAATAATTGTACCCAGAGAAAAATCCCAAAAATAAAAACATAAGAATCTAAAATTACGATTCAGATATGATACAGTGTTTCCAGTTATATCATTGCCTGAACGAGAGCTAAAACCCTTCCACACTACAGTCAGGATTTCACTGTCAAATGTCATCAATATAGAATGGTACTATTGGGGGAAGCTCCGCTTTAATCCGACTCCCTTCAATAGAAAGTCCAGAAGACCATTTTTGAACCTGACCAAAAGGCTATGCCAAAACTGGGAAACTGCCTGAAAATGGCTAAGTCTGGCAACGTGTTTGTCAAGCCTACTTTGGAGCTCAATTTGAGAAGCATGGATGCGAGTCAAGTCCAAGGGCCTCTACCACGTTAAATTACGTATTTTTTATACAAAGGAAAGACATTGAATGAAAGATGGAATATCTTTAAGGCTTCAAACAAAAGGCTCGAAGTTGCTACGAAGGTTGTTTTTCTGGCAGCTTGCTTGTGCTCGAAGTCTGCCAGAAAAACAGCCTTCGTAGCAACTTCGACCCTGTTGGGGATGTGACTCGGATCTCAACACGCCGAAGAAATAACCAAGGATGCTCACGTCAAAGCCAATGCGCGAGTCGCGCCAGAGCAAAGCGCGAGTGTAAAGACCGGCCCCAAGAAACGCGCATAGACGCCAAACGACGGCACTTTGGACAAGCGCGGGCCCTCACCGAGAAGTTGTGGAAGCGGCGCCGCGTCACACGAAGGGTAGTCAACATCATAGTCCTAGGTATAGTCATGGCTAAGGGTCTTGTCACCCATAGGGATATGGTCTTTGTCCCTGACATGTCAGAGGTCATGTCACCGTACCGTAGTGGTCACGTCATCGTACCATCATGTAACTTACCCACCACCATGTAGCCTATAAATATGGCATTTACTCCGGTGGGTGAAGGGATCGGATTTTTGGGGGACTCTATCTCTAAGATCATTATTTTCTCTCACTAAACATACTCTCCCTCTCATTCGTCTCAAAGTTCTTGTTCTATCAAGCCGTCCATTCTTCTCGACCCATTCTAGTGAACCTCACTCCTACACTCAGTTAGGTTCAAACAATTGGCGCCCACCGTGGAGCGTGAGGAAAAAATGGCAGAATAAAACTCCAACATACCCGGCGAGGCAACCCCCATCAAGGCAATGACGGATCCTAGGGTGTTCGCGGGACTCGCGGAAGCCAGCAACCGCGACGCGGTACTCATCGAGGAAGAAGAGCCCGAACTAACGGCCAAGGAGATGAGGCAGCTGGTGACGAAGCAAAACGACGTCATCGCCGATATGCAAAAGCAGATGAGCCAAGTTATTGCGCTCATGATGAGCAGAGAAGCTGCGGCAGCGCCGAGTGCGCCGTCTGATGCGTTACAGCTAACGCAAGGAGGGACATCAGGCAATGTCCCGCCACCACATCAGGCAGCGGTCGAGTTGACCGCGCCTGAAGCCCAGCGGTACGAACCACCCGGAAGAGCGGACCTCAGCTTTTTGGAGCAACACCTGTCCCCACAGTTCCGCCCCAATCCGCCTAGAAAGGCCTTACATCAACCGTTGTGCGCGGAGATCATGGCGTAACACTTGAGCGGGACGCCACCCACCCTCCCCACATACAACGGCACGACCGACCCTGAGGACCACGTCAGCACCTTCTGCCTACGGATGCAACTCCAAACCAACTCTAACGCGGCACTGTGTCGGACGTTCCCATCAACATTCTCCGGGATATGCCTCGACTGGTATAACCGCCTCCCAATGGAATCATCCGCTCTTTCGAAGAGTTCATACTCCTGTTCACAACAAAGTTCGCGTCACAAAAAAGAAGGCCTCTCCACCTCAAGGCGCTGATAGACATCCGCCAGAAGGATGGAGAAAGCTTGCGGGCGTTCTACGCCAGGTGGTCCAGGGTGGCAATGGCTGTAAGAGATCTCACCCCGGAAACCGCCGCCCATCACCTCATGGACGCCACCACTAGCATGGAGCTCAAGAGAGCGCTAGCCAAGAGACCAATCACACTATCTACGGAGCTGGAAGTCAAGATTGAAAAGGCCGTCACTTTGGAAGAGACGCTGGGCGCGGGCTCCATCAGACGTTTCGAACCCGCCAAAATGCCCAAAGAAGATCAAGCTCGTAGGCAGCTTCCCGTGCCGCGAGAACAGCTGTTGCAAGCGCATAGCGGCGCCAGACGCCCACCACCTCCTCCAGAACAAGCCCATTGGGGGCGGTCGCCAGATAGGCGCCCGCCAAACTATACTCCCCTCAACGACACGGTTAAGAACGTCTACCACGTTCTACGAGAGAAGGGGTACAAAATTAACTGGCCCGCCCCCATGAAGACCCTCCCGCACATGCGCGATCCCAAGAAGCGCTGTGAATTCCACAGGGACACGGGGCACTGGACAGAAAACTGCAGAGAATTGCGCTATGAGATCGAGGGCCTCATACAAAGGGGACTCTTGAATGAGTTCATTCGCGGAGCGGAAGACCCGCAGGCTGACTATGACGACGCCTCGGGCTCGTACGTAGTGCGAAAGGAAATTGGGGTGGTCACTATAGAAGGGGATCGCCCGAAGAAAAAGACCAAGCGCGACCGCGCCATAGAGTGCGCGGCGGCGGAAGCTCCACAGAAGTGCAACTTGAGCTTCGACGATGCTGAACTCCCTGGAGGGGTCCCTTCGGAGGACCCACTCATCATCACCGCGCTCGTCGCCGCCTGCAAGGTTCGCCGCCTACTGATTGACGGGGGCAGCGCGGCGGACATCCTTTTCAAAAGCACGGTCGACCAGATGGACATCGACCCGCGGCTAATCAAGCCCGCTTACGGGAACCTAGTCGGTTTCTCCGGCATAAGGGTCTCAGTTATCGGCGTGGTCACTCTTCCAGTCGTGCTCGGGGACCAAGAGCCACGCGTCTCGAAGCAAGTCGAGTTCACGATAGTCGACTGCAAATCCCCCCACAATGGAATTTTTGGCCGCCCGCTCTTGGCAAAATTCATGGCTCTCCCGTCAACATGCCACCAGAAACTCAAATTCCCCACTAAGGAGGGGAGCGGCGAAGCGCGCGGGACAACATGGGAGGCCCAAAAGCTAGGAGAAGTCCGCCAGACCAACATCGTTGACACAAGGGCAGAAGAACCTCGCCCGGAATCAATGGATTCTGACTTCGAAGTCGCCCTTGACCCGAGCGAGCCAACACGCAAGGTACGCGTTTCAACTCACGTCCCTGGAGACGCGATTGAACCGTTGATAAAGCTGCTGAAAGAGTATAAAGAATTATTCGCGTGGTGCACGGAGGACATGCCGGGGGTACCAAGAGAAGTCGCCCAACATTCCCTTGGGGTCCCAGTCAGCGCGACGCCAAGACAACAGGCGCGACGGAGCTTTACGGGCGACAAGCTTAAAGCCATCGAGGAAGAGGTGGCGCGCCTGCTGTCGGCAGGGTTAATCCGTCCAGTGAAATACCCGAAATGGCTGGCGAATGTGGTGTTGGTGAAAAGTCCTCGGGAGCTTGGCGAATGTGCGTCGACTACACGACGATCAACAAGGTGTGCCCAGGGGATCCCTACCCGCTGCCGCGCATCGACCAACTGATCGACGCCACCGCCGACCATGAAACACTGTCTTTCCTGGACATGTTCTCGGGGTACCACCAAATCCCAATGTCGCGCGAAGACGAAGAGAAAACAGCCTTCATGACGCCGTTCGGAAACTTCTATTTTGTCGGAATGCCATTTGGGCTGAAGAATGTTGGCGCGACATACCAGAGGATGATCGACGCGGTGTTCTCGCAACAAAGGGGGCGCAACATTGAGGCATACGTGGATGACCTCATTGTCAAGACCAAGGCAGGGAAATCACATCTGGACGACCTGCACGAAACATTCAAAGCGCTCCGCAAACACAGTCTCCGCCTGAACCCGCTGAAATCCGTGTTTGGAGCAGAGGCCGGAAAATTCTTGGGATTCATGATCACCAAGCGCGGCATCGAAGTCGACCCAAAGCAAATCACCGCAGTCCAGGGCTTGCGCGCACCAAGAAACACATTGGAGATCCAATCTCTGAACGGGAAAATTGAGGCACTAGGAAGGTTCATCCCAAGATCAGCGGACAAGTGCGCCCCATTCTTCAATACACTGAAAAACGGCGCGCGATTTGCATGGACCAAGGAGTGCGAAGCGGCCTTCCTAGAACTCAAATCCTATCTTGTTTCCCCCCCTGTATTGACTGCCCCAAAAATTAATGAAGAGCTTTTTCTGTATCTTGCCGTGTCCACAAGAGCCGTAAGCGCAGTACTAATATCCAAGAGAGACGGTCAAGGCGAGCGCCCGGTGTACTATACGTCGTGAACTCTAGCCAGCGCAGAAACAAGGTATTCCCCTATCGAGAAAGCGGCATTGGCACTGGTTAGCGCGGCGCAAAAACTACGCCCGTACTTCCAGGCACACCGAATCACTGTCCTAACCAACCTCCCGTTAAAAAAGATCCTAACCTCAATGGAGGTGTCGGGGCGGATGGTAAAGTGGGCCGTCGAACTGTCAGAGTACGACATCCAGTATGCTCCGCGTCCAGCAATAAAGGCGCAAATCCTGGCAGATTTCATTGCGGAGGGAGTAACCCTGGAGACAGCACCGGAAGGAGTGTGGGAGGTTTATGTAGATGGCGCGGCGAGCAGGCACGGTGCTGGCGCGGGGGTAGTCGTGCGCACACCCACAGGTGTTGTGCACGAAATAGCGATCCGATTCAGAGCCCTGAAGACAAATAACGCCGCCGAGTATGAAGCCATCTTGGCGGGAATGGCGGTTGCCAATGACTTGGGCGCTAGAACAATCAGAGTACTCTCCGACTCATCGTTAGCTGTCAACCAACTGAATGGAGCCTTCGATGCCAAAGAAGATGCACTCGCGCATTATATGGAGCGCGTCAAGCAACGAGCAACCACCTTCGAGGCGGTGACATACGTGCAGATACCAAGGGAGAAAACATGCACGCCGACGCGCTATCCAAACTGGCAACAGCAACAAACTTCGAGTCTACACGCCTAGTGATAGTACAAAAGGAGGAAGAGGAAACCAACCAAGAATCCACGGTCAATACCACCCAAATCGCGGAAGATGACTGGAGAACCCCGATCATAAGGTTCTTACAAGACGGCGTGGTGCCAGAAGATGCAAAAGAAGCATGGACCTTGAGGCAGAAGGCGGCCCGATGCACAATAATTGGCCTGGACTTATACCGACGATCATACTTCGGAGCATATCTCAAGTGCATCGGGAACGACGAGGCACGCAACATGGTGCGCGAGCTGCATGAAGGAATGTGCGCGATGCACGCCGGGGCACGCAGTAT